ATCCTGTCAGCGGAACATAGTCCTTGAGTGCTCCGCGGTAACGCATGGCCACGGCGTTCCGCTTGGTGTCTTCTCATTTGTAGTACGAGCTGATCATCCTTCCCGATTGCCCTGGCCTTAGCACTTTCCCTCGGTTCGTGAAGGCATGTAGACTTGGATATTCTTGCGCGTATCAGGTCCATGCAAACCCTCGGGACTTCCCAGTTACGATCCCCGTTAAGAGTCCTTTCGATGGTTGGTCGAAGTGGCCGTTCAAATGAAATGTTACCTCTGAGCGTCTCTAGACGGGATTCAAAATCTGCCTTCCAAATCTGCTAAAGACTCTCCGAACGGAGTTATGAGGCGTAATGGCTCAGTGGTATGGTCCAGGGGGTGCAGGTAAAGTAGTGGATTGGTTCCTTTGCAAATTGGTTGCTTTGCTTTGTATTGAGAAGTGTTGCGGACAAAAGCAAGCAACACTTGCAAGGAACCGTTCCTACGAGCTTTTACGCACCGGACTATCGCCACTGGTCTATTCGCTTTCTAACTCTCGGAGTAGCGTTTTAGCGATGAGGGAAAGCAGATTTGGAATCAGCGTCCAGAGACGCAATCAGGTGGGTATACAGGCTCATTCTATTCGGCACTTGGCCACTTCGACCTGCCATCCTTCCCTTGTAAGAAATCTGGCGTAACGATTTCATAATATTTTAGTACTTTTCAACAGTTTTTTATGAGTGAAATATTGCTACCGGAACAGTTCGCAAGGTGTCTCTCTCAGAGGGGCGACACTTTTAATATCATTCTATATCAAATTTGAGAGAAAAAATGATCAAGGTTGTGCTACTTTTGTAGTCTAATTAATTGTAAGTTCATGTGTTACTATACATACCGTATCCAACAGTTGTGTATACGTTCATGGCATAGAAGAAACTACTTCCGAATGTCCATTTCCAGTGATCAGGCTCATCAGTTTTGTAGTAAGTGGACCACTTGAATAGCCCGTCAGAGTTCAGCATAGCAACGTAGTCTTTCTGTAAAGCGACTTCAAATTTTAATCAGATTGAAAGCGGTCTCGAAATTCCAGTCAAATCCAAGTCTGTTATCAATAGATTGCATTCCACAGAAGTTCAGCTTAGTAGCTCCTATAAAGTTTGAGGTGACCAGCAAAAATACCTTCAAAGCGGCTGCTTTCTCCTGCAGAGTGATGTTCGAATTACCATTTTTATATCGCTCGACGATTTCCATTATTCTACCGTCTAGCTCCGCTTTTCTGGCGGGAACTCCCTGAAAAAGGAAAAGTCGAAAACGCTTGAAGCCCTTTTTGTCCCATTTTTTCTGGACTGTTTGGGTGTATGTATGAGCCCGTAGCGAAAAATATGTGTGGTAGGGCGGGCACTGTGGGGTAGATTCGAGGAGAATAAACAGTGACCAGAGAGCCGCAGACACAGGGGAAGGAGCTGCTACGAGCACATACACATGTAGCCTCTCCTATCACGTACGCTCCTTTACACCATTTTGCCAAGCAAAGTTGTCTGAGAAAGGCCTTCAGAGGCCTTCACAATACTCGGCGAGCGCGAGGATAAGGCAAGGTCAGGTGGCGTAATACTTGCGCTCAAAAGCAGAGGACAAAAGATGACACAGAATCCCATGCAGGGCATCCAAGCCCTTCTGTGCCCCAACTTTGCCTTATTGGACCCATCAGAAAGAATGAAAACACCTCCCTGTACGCCGATTCAACTCATAACAGGTCAAATTCTTGGCAATGTGGAAGAAGCTGCGATTGGAAATTGGATGGGTGGGTAGGTAGCAATGTCAAGCTCATTCGTGATTTATACTAGACCAGTTTGGTTAAGCACACTACTGCGTGAATCACACGGGACTCAGCGATATTGAACAGAACAACTAAAGGGGGCCTGTATACCACTTCACTTGTCTCTATTCACCTTTTCGCAGTTACCGAACATTTGCTGTACGACGTTGCAAATTTTGTATTCTGGCTCTGTCCACTTCGGGCACGCCCCACCTACTAGCAGAAGGCCTTCCTTCTTCCGCCAACCTCTGTTCTTTTTTTTGCAATCTAGTAGTTCTTTCGGAAAAGGTTTATTATGAAGATTTGTTGAAAACATTCTAGACACTGCTCTTCTACACCTATTTTCGTCTGCTTCGAGGTTTTCTCATTGCTGAGTTATGAAAATTTTTTAGGGATCCTGTGCTTGCAGAACGCTCCGCCCACAAAGGGTGTGCCTCCGTAATTTGACCGAGTAGTTCACAAAACACCTTCACCCATTCTCTCGATCCGTTCCGAAATCATGTTGAACTACCAGCGCCTATACCGATGCATTCCCGGAATGTTCCACTTGTCTCATTATTCAGCGTATCCCGTCCCATGCCCAATCGTTCCAAACTTAACCCAGCTTTCCTAGTCTTTTTTATTTCAGGAAATGGCGAATTTTGTGTCATGCAGATAGGCAGACAGAAGTAGCACCTTACACATGTGTAGTGGGGATGGAGAAAAATTGTAGCTGTCAACCGAGATATTGCGCGGTAAAGCACTCGGGTTGAACAACGACTTCAGACAGTTACATTTGGGTTGGGCTTGAATTAGAAATCATGCGGACTCCCTATTGTACTTAGTGTTTCTCTAATTTTCGTAGTTCATGTACATGCCTACCAAATGCAAAGGATCAAACAGCAAAAACGCTCCAGATACTGAGAGACCTTCCTAGTGAGAGTTGCACAATGGGTAGCCCTAAGACTAAGGCCAGGCTAAGGCTCTCCATTGCTGTGCGTCCCTGGAATGCCTCTCAGCCTCGGAGGAGCGATTGTCCCTGACAGCTCGAAAACTTGATGTTTTTCAATTTATTTCAGCAAAATTCAAACTACCAAACAGCCAGACTGGGAGCACCGTACTCAAAACAAGATCAGGTCTGATAAGCTCAATTTTGTAATTTTTCACAGCACGCAAAATACAGGTTTGTCAGTCCACCTTTTGGATGCGCCCTGAATCCTACATCCATTAGAAATCTTGACGGCACTTTAATGCGACTTGGCAATATTGCCCACCAATATGTTTACGCATAAGATACACCTTTTGATTTTGGACTATACAACTAACTATCAGCTGGGGCCATCTGATGTACAAGTCAATGTTTCTATCCTCCTAGATAAATCTGTCGCCAACTGAAGACAATGTAGAGATGAAAGGCTTGATCGCTTGGACCGTATGCATGATAAGCACCGCCTCTCGTCACTGCACCACTTCCGCTTGTGATGTTGTTTTGCAACAGCGATGGAAAGTGTAAACATAAACATGTATGGAAACGAATCATTACCTCTGCTTCTCCATTCGCCTCGAAGTAGTATATGACATATCCACCTATCAAAGAATAAAATGTCAACACAGACAGCAGAAATAAATGGCGTAGACCGATAGTTCTATCGATGAAAAAGAGAATATGGGCCAAATAATGCGAAACTGAAATAATGGTCATTTTGGCTCGATCATCAATGACAGGTAAAAAAGCTCTCACACGAACGTTTTCAAGAGACGGATTTTTTGGCCTGTGACCCAAATCGTTACAGCGGTGCGAGTGACAGCGACTTATAAAGTCTGAGGCGTCATTTTAGGATTATTCTTGCCCTACCTGCCGTATACAACATCCAATCTAGGCCCGAGAATTGGGTTCTCAAATTCGCCAGCCGATTGTGAGCTGTGAACGAGACAACAGTAACGCACATTGTCAACGCTAGGCGTGATAGCTTCTCTCCTAGCGGGGCAACCCGCCTTTGTTCCAATTCCAAACGCCCGCTCTCAACTGGGGTTTTGATAGTACGATAAACACCATCACCGTAAACCCTGCCTCACCAATAAGCCGTCCTCCCTAACTCTCCACCCCAACCACGACTTTCATCATCATGACTGTTTCTATAGCATTTGATTTTTTGACAAGTCCACACACTCCAGCCTCGCCATCGAGTGGGGTCAGGGGGGCAGGAGCAAGCATTTGTGAAAAGCTTCAATACACCAAGTCTTCTCAATCCCATTTCATGCTTCTTTTCCAGAGTTTCCACCATGATCGAAACTTGTTGAAACCTGCCTCCTCTCCGCGTTACCACGACCCCATCGAATATCACAAATAAGACCCTGCATTCAACCATTAAAACGCCCCACGCATGGTTAGTCCTGGGTCAAAGGCTTATGACATTGGATAGGGCCTTCTTGAATCGTTTTGAGCGTGCCCTTCGCCGCGAAAAACTTAGCGCACTATCTACCTTGGCATCGAGCTTCTACTACCGGTAGATATGGAATTCACCCGCGAAGCTAGTTGAAAGACGAGTCCATGGAGGTCGCAGGTCGAAGGAGGGTTAACTTACTTGAGGGAGACAGACCGACCCCTTAGAGTATGGGGCGATGTGTTTTCGCAACAAAGAGTATGCCTAGCAGGGCCGGCCCCGCTTCGCTCGCGCCTTTTCACGCCCGCTGATTGGTAACCCCTCGCCGTCTGACTCCAGCCTTTTAGTAGAGAGAGAGCGCGCGTTAGTGTTGTAGAGGGCAGCATCGATGAGAGTAGCGTCAATGCGGAAATCAATGGGTTGAAGGGGTCCAGCGTTTTGGGTTTTGGGCCGTTAGTTATGGCTTTTTCTTATCACTGCACCACTATCAGCTCTATCTAGATTATACACGGTGCCTTCTGATCTTGAACTCCGCCTTTAACCTGCTCTCTGCCTTCAAACAACTACCAACAGACACCAAAGTTACTTGCAGAATAAGAGTTTGAAATTTAAAGCATTTCTGACAATAACAAATGGTTTCTAAATCGGCAACTGTATAGTAATAGCCTTCTGAAGCTCTACGTGATCATGACTAAATGAGAAAGTGCTCACCTCCTTTAGACTGTTTTGTGGTACCTGAAATAAAAATTTGTACTCGCAGAATGCCAGAAACATGTACATCTCTCTAACGAAAGCTGTTTCAGTCTGGCAAACCAGCGAACCTATGTTGGCTATCTGAGCCAAGATTGAGGCCATCAATAACCAACATAGGTGTGGTGTGCTTTGGTAAGATTAAATCGGTTAAGTAGATGAAGTTGAGATTAGGTTGGTTTAACCTACTTTTGTGATTGCTGAGATCTTCCATTCGCACAGTGGGCACATGAGAGTGTTCATAAAAATCGTCCACTGTTTTCCATGTCGTCATAGTTAAACTCTGAAATCGAACGCCTGGTAAATGAAGGCAAAAGTGCATTACCAAGCATGTATGATACGATTGAATGAAGACGACTACCCTACCGGTTTTCAGAGAAAGCGGTCAACACCATCATTGGGCAGTAATAAAAACATTAAGACTGTCAACGACAACTCAAACTGGCGAAAATAAAGAACATGACGGCTCATCTTGGGATACGCCACACATTCGACAACGTTTCGGGATAGCACTGGCATGGACTTCGAATGGGAGCTGTCGTGAGCTCGATTCCTGTACCCTGCGCTATGCCAATCAACGAAATTCCAAATGCAATATAGACATGTACACACCATTTCATCAACTTCAAAAGGAAAAAATAATGGTTGTAGAGCAGGGAAAAAGTAGGTATTGAAAAATTTTGAAAAAAAAACAGTGCGTCTCTTTAGCGCTTAGACTTAAGGTAAAATAGCAAGTTATTGATAGTATGAAATTATTTAAAATGAAAAGAGGTCCTTGCCGCCTTCCTTCAAAAAAAGTAGATGACTTGTGAAAATCCAAACTCATGCTCATCTCATAATGATAATACTTACCACAATCTTTTATCTTAAAATCCAACAGATAGATCATTTAACAAATGAGAGCGGTCTGTGCAAAACTTTATGGCTAATTCACGGTGTAATAAGAAAACGATGGTGCGCGTAGAACACAAGGCGTCGAGGTATTAAAGAAGGAACACTCCAAAGGAGTAAAAAACTGTGACAAACCTCGAAGCCCGGAGAAGGACTTATGTGTTATTTTGCACTTATTTTTCGCTTAATACCGAATTTCGTGACAGACGGACAGACAGACTTAGCGCATTAATAGTAGGGATAGTAGGGATATCATAGTGGTTAAAAAAAATCAGCAGAAAAAACATCGAGGAGTCGGCGACGGTTTTGAAGCGTGATTAGGCAATAAGAAAAACATGTCAAATAATAAGGAATGGTACGGTTAAGTTTTTTTGTTTTTTTGTTTTTTTTTTGGATTGTTATTTTATTATGTAGCGACCACTGAAGCGGGGTTTCGAAATTGATTGACATCGAGATCAAGAGGAGGTAAGCTTTTTTGCAAGGCAGTGTCATGATCACGACTGAGATCTCGCGGTGATTCATCATATCACTCACAGTTTGGAGGCTAACAGCTTTCAGCCGCTAACAATGGCCACGTTCAATAGAAAAAAGATGAGGGAATGGTTTTAGAAAATTCGATAAGTAAAGGCGGGGGGGGGGGGGGGGGTAAGCCGGGATTCGCTTTTTCTTTAATCTCCGTTGGTTAACGACAATTTTATAAGGTTTCGTTGTTTGAAGATTTTGACTCGTTTTTTATGCACTTAAAATGTAGCGATTAAGATTTTAATGCCTTCAAAAGAACAAATGAAGATGCCATCGAACGGAGGGGGAGGAAAAGGGGGAGAAGGGAAACTTGGATAGAGGCGCTAGAAAGTGGGTTAGTTCAGATTTTTTCCATTCTGACGATATTCGATAGACGTTAGTATACGCGAAGGGTACGCCCAATGACATCATGGATCAGTGATGGTCACGTTGCTCGACAATCGTACTCGACCATCAGTGTCCGTCATTCTGGCCCGCTCCGGATTACGGGCTTTGAAAAAAGCTTTTGCCGGGGTTCATGAAGCCAAGCGTCAGTGGCGAACTGTAGAGTATACATTGTTCTAAAAGAATGAGAGTGATTCCATAAGGAGATGTATAGTTCAGAAGGAGCTGGCATTGGCATCCTCTGATGTGCTAGTAAGCTGAACTCGTGATCGTTCCACCGCTTGAGCGCGTTTGAGTGGGCGTCATCAGAATGGTGCGTGACGGAACGCGGTAAGAATATGGGTAAATTGGCCTGAGGTTAAACTTTAGCTTCAAAAATGAGGTTGGAACGGTAGAAGTTCGATTCGAACTGAGTGAGCGTGCTATTTGAGTTAGTGGTCGGCGTTCAAATGTTTCAAACATCTCCAAATCGGGAGGAAACATGGGTGCACGTCGATCGGCGATTGACAGCGCCGGCAAGGTCCGCCATTTTTATTCCTTTAGGTTCCGCTGGCTACGCAAGCAAGTAGTTGTTGACACAGGGTACCCCCTATTTTCGCGGAGACGAGTAAAGCGGGGGAGTGCGGGATTACACGCCACAGTTGACGACGTTTAAAGGAGATACGTATCGGGAATCGACTATGGAAGAATTCCGCGGTTGTAGGGACCCGCGAGCTCTACGGGGTGTGACGAACTGGAAGCCGATTTGCAACAGGAGGAGTGATCGTTGCTCTAGGTTTGATCGCCGGCGGTAGTCCGTTGACACGCCCACCGATCAGATCGACTCGCCAGGGGTCTATACGTGAGTAGCGTGTTGAAGATTCGGAGGGCGTAGCGTTGAAGAGGTCACAGCGATGATAGTCGCATCAATGCTCAAATCAACGGGCAAGGAAGCGGTCCCATTTATCAGGTTCTGGGCCGTTTCGCATGGTTTTTCCTTCTTTAGTGAACCACTCACCATCGCTAACTTAATTTGAAATGGGTTGCCTTTCCAGCGTGAATTCGTCCTTTAAGGAAAGCAGCTTTTTATCTTAACTGTCGTCGCCTGTGTTGTGTGGTTACCTCGACGCTCTTGAACTCCTCCGAAATAGAAGGTACATCACATTGTGATTACCTACATTCCGAGCGCGTAGGACTTAGTTTTTCAAGGTTGGGCTCGATTTCACTGGCAGCTGTAACTGCACGACGCCTAAGATGAAAATAAGAATGGAGTAAAAAGATAACGGAGAGATAGCAAGATGAATAATGACCATTAAGCTTCAATATTGACAAAAAAATCATAATAAAAATAGCGTTTTTATTCGATTTGAACACTGTGTAACACGTAAAGACACGATTTCATTAAAAAATCAACAACCAGGTTTCTTTGACTGAACACTGAAATGTCGGAGCGAAATACACTACTAGGTAATGGCTTTCAAATCGACATAACTGTCAAACAGGCAGTTCCGTGAGGGTGTCACGTCATTGCCACGGCTCCACAGTTCTGAACATATTACATGCGAAGGACTCAGGCGAATAAGTACTACTATATTTACATGATAAAAAGCGCTTTCAGGATATATTATGCAAAGAAAGTACTGTAAAAATTGGCAGGTGCCTGTAGGCAAGTAGTATAATAGCGGAAAGTTCTGTCGGCAGTACTTTAATCCACGAGTTTATGATGTGCGGACTCTTTTCGGCAGTTCAACGTCACGATTGATAGCACACAAATCATTACAGTTGAGGCAAAAAGGGATAACAAAGATCCAGCAGCAAGCGGTGAAATGCAGATGTCTCCACGTTTCTCTTCCTGCCGAGACGTTGTTGGACCTGAATCTATACTAGTAATTATTTTTACAATTATTTTTTGATTTGTCGATTTAGTGTACACCATGGCTGAGAGGCGGAGGGGATTCGAATACGTTATTGGTGAAATGCTCTCAAAAAGCGGCCTGTGCGGAGGGCCAACCGTTCGTTGGACAAAGTCGGGGGGGTCGCATTTGGCCGACGCTAGAGGGGGGGTCGTATTCGCAGGAGTCAACGTTGCTGTACGAAGAGGTTTTTGGGTGTAGATGACGAGAGGTGGTTTTGCTATAAGGAACCTAATGTGTGTTGTGATAAAGCTCGCAGCTGTTGGCTCGTGCTGGGACCATCGAACGATTAGAATTAAGACGTTAGTTCTCGCGGCTAGGGGAGAGGTGGGACTCTTGCGTACTTCTTCAACTATTAAGCACAACAGAGTGCATGGCGCACATCAGAGCAGAAGAGTCTACTGCGAAAGTATCCATATTTGACTGCGCACGTACACAAATATAATTATAAAGGAGAACCAATGCTTTCGAACTGGACCTAAGTTGATAAAAGAGTGACCTCTTTGGTAGATTGACTGCTAAAGGGCTGAAATAAAAGTTTGGGAACAAAAATATTTGCCTGTGGGCAAATTCTTGAAATGTTCAGCATCTGTAATGAAGCACAGAGCTCGTGCGATGCCACGGTATCACAACTCCCGATAAAATTGAGTTTGAAAAGAGTTATCAGTGTTTAAGTGTTGAAAACCTGTGTTTTCAGGAGAGTAGCGCCGAAAATTCATGAAAAAAAGGTGCAACGGGGCGATTTTTTGGCTCCTTCAACTTTTGAAAGAGAAAAAGCATTCGCTGGGAAGCTCTAATCTTCTGCTCCAATCCAGGGAGAGCGAATGCAGAAAAAAAAAAAAGTTCAATATGAAGAAAGTTATAACAATTGAAGCCAAAAATCTAGCGCTCTGCAAAAAATCGGTCCGCGCTTACCTAAAAACGGTCTAACGGGGCAATTTTTTGACTCCTTTAACTTTGAAAGGAGTTCAGGTATTCGCTAGAAAGCTCTAACCTTCTTCTTCAACCCGGGGGACAAGAATCGCAGAATGTGGAAATTGAATAAAGTTATAACCATTGGAAGCTAAAAAACCAGGTCTGGCGAAAAGACGGTCCAACGGAGCGGAGCAATTTTTTGAAGGAGAGAGTTTTGCGAAAGCTTGAGCATTTTTTAGAAAGAAAACCGTTTGAGCTTCCCAATTTTTCTTACCGCTCCTCAAAATTCCTTCTTTGGAGAAAGTTACGACCTTTCAAAGGACAAAGTGCGCATTTCTGTGGATTCTTTGTTCTCTACCCCATAACTGACGTAGTTTTGAAGATGAGGCATAATCGTGGTTATTTTCTAAAACAAGCAGTTCTGTAGACGACAAGTCTATTTGGCGTTCTAAGAAATATTGATATTGTACAAAATTACGCTCATTTGAAAGTCAATAGTCTGTTTCTCGCTGCCCGCGCTGCACCGAGGGGAAGATTGCGCGCACCAATCAAACGCAACGCTCCAGTGCTCTAATCGGACACTTCTGCTGTATACTCTCATGCTCTGAGATGCGCCATGCACTCGTTTGATATGCGCTTGCATATCGAAATGGTAATTTTTGTGATTGAACGCCCATTCATGAAAGGCAGGCAAAGCGCCATTAGAACTAAAGGGCAGTACTGTTTAGCAACTAATGAAGGCAGTTCGTTTCGCGATGTTATGCATTAGGAAATTACCGGATATCGGAAACTAGAGCTCGTCTGCTAACTGTGTTAGGATTCAAGCCAAGTGTCTTTATGTCTGATTTTTTGTAGATTGCACTTATTTCCCTCGTGTTAGCTTTTTCCTTAGCAGTGTACAGTACATAATGAGTGCGGGGGATCGTATGTGGACTCTCCAAGAGGGGGGGGGTCGTAAAAATTCTGAAATCGGTCCAACGTGACGTTGACCCTGCCTGTGCGGATGCGAGACAAGAATCCCCCTGAGGTTGCCGCGCAAGCGAAAGTAGGTCACCGCCCGCGGCGGCTACCGGTCTTTACAAGTTGGAACGTGGCAATTTACCAGGACTAAGCTAAAACAAAGCAGAAATGGGGACTACACAGACAGAACAAATAAGCGTTGTGTCGATCGTCTAGAGAGGCAGATCCCAAACTTGCCAATTGCCATGCTTCAAACTGTAATACGACATCGCGCGCGGTGACCTAGTTTTAGCGCGGCGATCGAGGGGGACTCTTGACCGTCTCCCGTCTGTGCCACAACTTCCGTGCGGTTGGGCTGCCCATAGACGCAACTTCATCAATGACACTCTAAGCCACCTCCGCCTTTCTGCCATTGTTTTCACTCCTTAAGTTAGTAATGTCTATAGAGCTAGTCTAATATTCTTAGTTATTTTTATTATATAGCTCTTCAAACCTGTTGTGTCATCGATATCGAAGACTGTCATGTGTTGGGATATGACATCAACATTGTTCTCTTCCATATCCGTAGAACGCTTTCCACGAAGAGTCTTCGGGCAGTCATCCGATGAACGCTGAAATATCAAGAAAACTCAGACCAGTGTACAGCTCATGAGTTAAAAAATTATCAATTTTTTGTGATCATTAAAGATTACATGGCAACATGAAGAGGCATTCAGATGGCGCTCGTGGTAAGCACTGGATCAGTGACCCATTGGATGCCCTTGTCACCATACAGAGAAAGACCTTCTCAATTTCATATGTGTAAATGGTGAAGATAGGCTATTTCCTTTAGGAATGTGTAGAGACTCCAGAGCTGGGCCATGCATTTTTTTTCAGCCACACTTTCTGATGCAGACGACTGGGCCGAGTACGTGAACTATAACTCGATGAGCACAGTTAATAGTCAGACATTCGGCCTGGTAACTTCAGATCCCATTTCAATGATTTGTCCAAGGGCTTGAAAGCTAAGTGTGGTTTTCAATCCTGCTGGACAAGGAAATGGGTGGTTCAAGTGTTGCGCTATCTTTATCATCAAACTATAGAATCAAATATGGGTTATTATCCCGTGTTTGACGCCAGGCTGCTTACTACTGCATGCACGGGGATGGGGATGCAAACAAAAGTCGCCTCCCTGCACATTCAAAAAGGATTTGGATACACTTTGTCAAGTTTAAATCGCGAAATCAACGGAAAATCGAAGAGCGCACTCCAGTCCATTGGAAATAGTAGTCTTCTAGTACTCCGGCGAAGTCGAAGAATTCTGCGCAGGAACATGGTGCGCTGTTCGAGCTCAACGAGGTCTTCGACGGATTGTACTATTAGGACATAATGCGAAACGCTGGTCAGAAAGGGTTCACATACTCTGCCCCAGTGTCTTTATGGAGCTATCCACGGTTAAGCGACTGAAAAAATCATGTAGCAGCTTTAGGTGGGAGCAACTACGGTTCCGTCTCCGAGCTCGACAGTGATGACAGAGAACGTCATATCCCTAAGACGATGAGGGCAGTGAAGGAGGGTTTAGTTCAACTTACGGAGAAGGGGGGGGGTGGGAAGATTCAAGGAATCATTTGACATTGAGCTTCCGTCGAAAGCCTTCTGCCACAAAAAGTTTGATTATGTACCATGAGACACAAAATAAAAAATATTCGGCTCAATCTGGTTTTTAAGTACCTTGCAAACTGGTCCCTCTTTTAGGCTTAATCGAATCTGGCACTGGAAAAACAGAGAAGGCTGGTCAGCGAATTTGAAAACCTGAAAGAATCAGTGGATCCAGATTCATGAAATTTTTTCGCAGTAGATTATACCTGGGACATTTGTCCACCTGTCAGGTCGGATGTGTATTCGAGATTATTGAGAAGGTACCTTGAAGAAGATAAAATTGAAGAATTCTGATCAAGTTATCAAGTTATGTATGTGCTGGTACAAAACTATACCACAGGTAAAGCAATGTAGGGAATTCATAGAAAATAAACAAAAAGCAGAAGTATGTATTTTCAATTTTTTCCATAGTAGAAGCTTAAATAACCACCGAAATTGAGAGAATATAGAAAAAAGTCAAATGAAAAGATGAATCACTCCATGTACCCAGGAAAGTCCCGAAAGTCTTAACTGTTCAGGTGTTGACACAAATGAAAGAAAAATGTTGTAGCAGACGGGCTTCTGGTTGAGACTCAGGTGCCAGAGAAAAATGAACTAGCAAAAATCAAGTGATCCTCCTGAAGGGCAGTGAATGCGATCGGTGCGAGGTGGAGCTAATATGAAGATGCCATTGGTGGAAGAGTGTTGGTAGGCGGTTCGATCCAGGGTCAATCGTGTGTTGGACAAAGTCCAACGAGGGTCGGAGGGTCGTATTTGGGGTAGAAGAAGGGAGGGGTCTTATTTTGCGAGGTAGCGTTAATGTGACAGCAAGGGAAGTGATGATGCAGTTGGTTGGCACACCAAAATTTTGCCGTTTCATGGTGTGTATAAATCCGAGCCTCGTACCGAGGCCCTCTAGAAGGGGGAGCGGGGGGGGGGGGGCGAAAAATCTTGATATCGGTCCAACGTGACGGTTGACCCTGGTCCGATCACGTTCCCTAGCGCGCCACGGGGTGTTGTTGGACCTCCCTACAAGGCTCTTCCAGCAATGGCGTCTCCGAAATAGCTCCCTTTCCCAGCCGTCACATTCATTCCTTCGAAGGAATGCTTGTTTCTCGCACTGTAGTATATATACGTGAAGTCTCACTCGCTTGTTGTGGTACCCGCCTCTTTCTTGTAAACATATTCAAACAGGTAAAAAGTAGAACCTGTCAACAGCACAACCGTTTTCATCGAGCAGTTGCACTTCTCGTCCTCCTTCTTCACGAACATTGCAAGAGTGCACGGTTGCACAGAAACTGGAGTCAGCTAAAAATACAGTAAAAAAATAAATATGAAGAAAAGATACAGTTGGCAGGGCAAGAAGAATGGTGTTTTGAACGTTTAGTTTTTCGAATGTTCCCAGTTGAAAATTCAAGAATACCTCCCATTTCATGAAAACTTCATAACAGCCTTCTACGCGGAGGACACCAGAAGAACCTGCCACCGAAACCTTCTTTTAAAGGCTTTTTCAGAAAAAAAAACCCTATAATGTGAATTTTCAAGAGCTTTCCAGGTGGATTTATATTTTTGCAAAGCAGTGTATGGTGCACGGGTCGGGCTCAACATGATGCTCGACGATCGTGGACCGTTAAGACGTGTTATGGGACGCTGCTTAAAGGGCTTGCATAGTCGAGATTTTCCAGGAAACTATCCATCAGTGAGTCGATTAAAGAAGTTATGTAGCAGCATCGGCTGAGCAATTACGGTAGATTTCCTTGAGCTCGACGGTGATAGCAGATGACATGTTCTGAAGACGGTAAGGACTGAAAGTGAGCTTGCTTTCACTTGTAGAAGGACTCAAGAGTATTTTGTCTTAACAAGTCAATGACGACAATCTGTACGACGAAAAATTCGCTGATGTGCGACATGTGCAGAATGCATTTTTTTGCTTTCTTTTACCTCTCCCCCTGTACAGAGATTTGGAAGTTTCACGACATGTATTGAGATTCGGTCGTGAAAGGTCAGGCTTACTTTTTTTTCAAGATTTCAGTTCCTTGTTAGAAAAAAAGCTTCTACTGTCAAGTACAGAAGAAGAAATGGACTTGTGAATTCGCCCTCATCTGACCCCGTGTTAGGCACCTTTCGCAATTTCTTCGAGCGCTTGGACGTGATGAGACAGGGCTACCGCGCATTGGGTGCGTAGCGTTCCTCCTCCTGAGATTAGATCACCTAAAATGGTGACGCCGTTCATTCGCTCGGAGCAAGCGTAGTAGGCCTAAGCCCAGTTATACTCTTAGGCATAAGCCAGTGTGCAAGCATTAAGCCTGAGCTTCAATAATCGCACAACTGTGGGGACCTGACCCCAGGAGGAGAAACGCACGTCTCCCCTGCGCATTACCCACCCTGACGAGACCCATCGGCGCAAATCCTTTTTATCTCTCCCGTTTCGCTTGTAGACCACCTTTCACAGAGCACACTTAGACAGAATGGGACAGCGCTGAAAGAAGAATTGCGCTACTGGACATATCTTTTGCTGTACAATCTCGAACAACGATCGAAAGAGTTTCATTTATCATATAGCGTTGCAAGAACATGATCGACCCAAATACATATAAATTCGTCCCATATGCGCTGTAAGAACGGTTCATGGTTAAAACCAATAGTAAAGTTAGTAATCAAAGGGCTTCATCCTTCTGGCTGGTCTATACTGAAGAATTATGCCATATTTCAGGCATTTCTAACTGGCCTGGGCGTTGATAGAAGTGATATGGTGGTCTAAAAGTGTCTGAGTGACAGAGATTATCTCTTCTAGATAATATTCAGAAAGGTGCTAGCCGGGTCTTTAGAGTTCAAGAAGAGCTGTACTTTACCAATTCGACCAGCAGGCAGAATGGGAACCCGAACCCCTATGGGAGTGTGGTTTGGGATTCAAGAATTTTCTCCTACACATTCATAATCAGGAAAATATGCAAACGTAGAAGACAAAGACGGCATGGTTAGCAAAACGCCTATGGCTATTGTTATGTGGACTGTTACTGACTGATACTATTACCGTGATCGGGTGCATTAAAAAGGTGATCGTGAGCGGCCAACTGTTTATAGGCTCTTCCTCCCAAGCGCGGTCTGCGGTCTCTCTGACTGAGTGAGACAAAAAAAGATCGTATTTTGATATTCTCGCGGGCAGACATTCCGAGGGGGGGGGGCAATAAAAAAGACATCTTGTCTCTAGCCTCAAATGGGTTTAATCACACTTTGCGTGGACAGCATCGCGAAAATTTTCCCCGGAAACTTGGGTGCTCTGGTCGAGCTCAGTGGGATTCGCGACTGATCGTGTACCATTACGACGGGTTCCGAAGGGCGGGGTCCGAGGGATTTGCATGGTTAGGCTGATGTCCCTAGAAAACTATATCACGTTGAACCTATCCAAGAAGTGATGTTAGAGCTTCAGGCTGAAGCTGTTACTGTAGGCCGCCCTGAGCTCGGCGAGGGTGACAGATGACGTCATATTCTGAAGGCGGTGAGGGTAGCGAACGAGGGCCTGCGTGTACTTATAGAGGAAGATTTAGGGAATAATTTGCTGAGAAACCTTCGCCAGCGACGGCAATCTCTACGAAGGAAATAAGGCCGAAGTGTGACCTGTGCAAAATGTCTTTTTTTTCTGGCTCCTCCCCTGTATATTAAATCATGAAAACTTGGGCAGCGGTTATACATACTACTTCTTCCCACACTCATCCTTAACGCAATTGTGGCATTTTGAAGTTTTTAGTGCGGTCTTTAGCTTGAGGGGTTGTATTAGGTTCAAGGTATCAGTAGCAATCAGTCGGAGATGGTGATAGGAGTTAGCCTTCGCATTGTGAAACTAGGTTGACAAAACCTGACCTCAAGACGAGTAGGATATGCTTCAGCTGCAAAAGCTTCACATTCTGCCGTAGCTAATTCTTTATTAGCTGCAAAATGGAGCCATGTAAAAAATACTAGTATAACGTTCTCAATTTTGGATCATGATTGATCTTCAGGACAATTTTCTCTGAAGATCACATGTAGCTCTCCCTCCTGTGGTGAGTTGTCAAGTGAGCGGACAAAAAAAAGGGGCCTTACCAATGTCATACTTAAAGAAATTTTCATTGATAAATTGCTCGGATACTTTCGAATTGATCAAATTTCAACCTGACATTTTATATTGTCCTGTTCCGGTAGCATATTTTCCAGTACTGAATCATTTTTTACAGTTGTTTTGGCTAGAGCTCTTGATACCATGGCTAGAAGCATAAAATTGCATGACTTTCCTAACAATCACAAAACTATTCGCCGTCAGATTGGAAAACTCCCCAAACAATTGTCACGACATCCAGCAGCTGTCTACGATACCCTCGTTAACTAAGAAATTGAAACGGCATCATCCAATCTGAAATTTCTACTCCGACGACCACATATGCTTCGCAAGTATTGCATGGACGCCAAATCCAAATTATTCACTTCACACACCAAGTTGGAGCACCTTCACGAAAATTGGGTATCACCCATTCCCACCAGCGAAGAAAAAAAATATATTCACTGACTTCATCAAAAGTTCTAGGCAAATCAAGCGCAGAAGATGAGATCGACTTGAAAAACACAGCATCAAATATAACTACGGGCATTTTTTGCAAGGAACATTTGGGAATAACGTTTCCCGAGCCAGTTTTGGTCATGCACTCAGGCAGCTGTTTTACGCTAACCCATGAAGGGTCGAGCTTATGAAGTTCATTGAACAATAGTCAGTGGCGCAATTCTGGCTGCAGATCAGCTCCACGAAACTCCGACTACCTCTCGATGATTATGATTACACGCTCCAAGGAATGATGACTTCCTTTCCAAAATTTGCTCCTCTCCATGACGATCCCTACTGACGATCACATTACGTTTACGCAAGATAATCGATGCTAGAGCATCTGTAAGCCGCATTTCTCTGAATGAGTTTTCAAATGAATCAGCTAATCAGAAGTGCGACCGAGGCGTGGCGCACACCAAGGCAGGGGATATCAGTGCAAGCGCATGCACAAAGCATTCTAACACATCCTATGGTCAACCCGATATTGTTTTCCCTGGAGGTTGCGCCCAGTGAAATCTAAAAAAACTCGCTTTTTTTAAGAGAATGGCTTGGAGAATGCCCCTCCAAAAATGTAGCAACGGGACTAATTTTTTAACTACTGACTTTTGAGGAACGTTGAGGTACCGATTAAGAAGCTCGAATCCTGTAGTTTCTCATATGATCAGTTTCCCAAATAAATGAGTTTGAATGAAGTTATGATCGTTTAAAGGTTGAAAAGCCGCAGTTGCACAGAAAAAAAGTTCCAACATGCTAAATTTCTACTAAATTGGCTTCCGATGAATTTTCAGCCATGATTAGAGAGAAAATGATTTGAATTTTTTAAATCAAACAGCTCTGGCACAAAAGCTCGAATATGAAGAAAGTTATAGTCATAAAAAGAGGAAGGTGAAAATTGTAGTGCAAATTCATTTCTTGCTCAATAACTCAATTGTTTCAGATTGTTTAAGAACAAATCCGCTCTACTTAAGAAGGATGATCGTCGTTTATCCAGAACCCACCTCCGTCTTCCGAGGAACCTGAAATTTTGCAAGGGAAAATTCCTCCACTCCTCAATTTCCCCTTTCGGCACCTATTCCCATTCAACAAACACGCCCAATTGCAGTCACCGAGGGCGCGATCCACCCAATTCAGAACTTGTTAATCCTTAAACCAACAGCCATGAGGTCCGCGGCACAAATGACTTTATGTCCAAATTCCATGCGTATGCTGTTTTTCGGAATGGTATCTCGTCTTTTACGAAATTTGATCCGCAATTCTGCACCTTTGTCTAAAGAAGTTCTGTATTTATATCTGATTATCTAATTATGTATCTGATTATTATTGTTTAAGTAATCTTTTCACCACTTTGAGCTACAGGCAGGGGTGTCGTACCAAATCGCCCGAAGGGGGGGGGGGGTCGTAAAAAATCCAAAAAGTAGCAACGATAGGACCGACCCTGCTTCGAAGTCATCTGCACATGAACGGAAGGAAAAATGTCGAGTCATCTGCACAACGCTGCTCGAGCCCACGTTGGTTCTGCCATTCACGTACAAACAATCATGGAAAACTAAAGATCTTCCCCTATTCAAAATCACAGAGGCTGGTCCGATGGCCTCTATTGCCAAAGGATGCTGCTTCTGTCTGAAGCGACAGCCAGGATTGTGTGTTACTTCAAGCGAGCTACAGCTAATATTATATGTATTCGCGAAGACCAACATCAGCTTGCCACGTGCACTGAAAGACACCACTCAACC